CAGAGTCCAGATAAGAAAGGCGGCGGAATCAATGAAATTACGAATCCAAGTCCCCAACTTATGACAGTTGGAATCACTGTCCCTAGCTCCTCGAAGACCTTCCCCTCCAGAACTTGAACTCTCCGCGTTGAAGTCAGAAATTGGAATGAACGCAGAATCTGCAGCAGGTACCCACTTCGATTAGCCAGTGGGAATCCGGATTTTACGCAGAATGAGTGGATTCGATTGAGTTGCGGGGTGGTGCTGTCGAGGAGTACATACAGTTTAGATGCCGGGTCAAGGGCGGACGATTACTCCTCGCAAATCGCGGAGCTGCGTTGGGCTGCGGTGCCATGATCGATGAAAAAGTATCCACTTTGCATGAAAGAAAGGGGACACAACCAGGCCAAGACATTGGGAGGATCGAGACTACCAGTACAAGTTGGATGCTCCAATGGATTATGGGGACATCAGTGCGCCGCGCGCCCGTTCAACGTTCGATTCGTGACCCGGCCATCCGCATGGGGACAGGATCTTTATCGTTTTTTTTTTTCCTTTACCCCCTTGTAATCCACTACCAACTGCTCAGAAATCATGGGGCCCCGCACGATCACCAAACTGTTTCGCAAAAAAGGGGTGCAACCAAGCCAAGACATGGTTGAATTGGAACGATCCCTTCTACCCCACCTTCATATATTCCCGCCGTGGATGTAATCGAAGAGGAGACGATCCACGGACAGGGTTGCTCCACAAACCTCAAAAGGTATAAAAGCCGCAGTCGGCGAGCTCAACATTCCTCAGCATCTCAGCTACCTCGCAACCCACAAACACAATGCATTTCACCTCCACCACCCTCCTCACTCTCGCATCCCTCCTCACCGTAACTGTCGCCATGCCCGGCCTAGCCGCTGGTGGTGGAGGCGACTACACGCCGTGCACCGCCCTGTTTTACTCCGATGCCGAATGCTGCTCCAGTTTCGACGACGGTATGGGGCTGGTCACCTCCGACTGCACCCCGCCCGACGGCACTCTCACGTGTGAGGGCGATTTTACCAACGCTTGTTCAGCGGTGGGCAAGACGGCCCAATGCTGCATTCCTGAAGTGATGGGGGAGTACATCTGCCAGGACCCCACTGCCGACACCACTGCGGCTTAATGAGTAATCATTCAAAGGTACGCAGGCAACTCAACGCTCCATTCAGGCCTCACTCATCCTTTCCTTGCAGAACCAGCACCATAAATCAACCATAATTTGTTTCACTGTTTTGTATTCATGGAGCGAGCGAGTTGCTTTCTTGTATTTAATTCCCTTTTCATTTGCAACAAACGGGGACTCTTTCGCGCACTTGCATTTATAAATTTCCTGGTTTGTGTCTCACACGACTCTTCGCCCGCCTGAGGGATCACATTTCGACTGAGCGCGTGGTCCGTAGATCCGCGTTGCCCCAGCCTCAGTATCCGGAATAAAACCCATGTCAGCTTCCACTCAACAAGAGACGACAAACACACCACTTGATCGATAACGCCTCTGCGGACCATCCTCCGAATCAAAAAGAAGTCTCCAAACCCCGGCTATGAGTCTATCCCGAATCGAACAGGGTTCCACGACTTTAATCAATAATTCTGAGTATACGGAGTAGAAGCACGCAACGTCGCCATACGCTGCCAGTACTTGCTGGAAACAGGCGTATAAAACCACAACTCCACACAGTGGCACTGGTCGACAAGACCAACGGAAATCGGAATCAATGCAAAAAGCCACGCCAAGCAAACATGGGCCGGTCCCGAGTCGAACGGGGGATTCTACTTACATACGACCTAGATCTCTGGTTATCTCTAGTAGACGCGCTCCAAGCGCAACCGGCGCTTGCTGGTGGATGTTGAATCTTATCTTCGGTCAATCCATCTCAAGCCAACCAAGCCCAGGGGCCCAGGAATCAAATACGGAAGTCGGAATAATACAAAAGACACATCTGGACCAGCATTTATGGGTCGGCCCGAATCGAATCTTCTTCGGTCAATCCATCCCAAGACAACCAGGGGTCCAGGATTCAAGTATGCATTGCCAATCCTCGCACGTCCACATGGTCGATGCTCAACAAGACCAACGGAAATCGGAATAAATTACAAAAAACAGGCAATTATGCTCCAACCCTGGGCTGGGCCCGAATCATTGAACGGGGGGGTCTCTACTGTACCCAGCTATGTGCGCTATCTTTAGCAGACGCGCTCCAGGCCCAACCGACTCCTGCTGTGGATTTTTGTTGTAGAACAGGGCTAGAGGTAGCTCTGTCAGTTGAGTTCGAAGGAAATCCTTACAAGTTCATCACTTGGATGACACACAATGTACGTAGACGGACTGCCGAAGGCCGAGTAACTTGCTTATTTACTCGGGCAACCAGAGTAGACTGTAGGCTACTTACAATTAAGACAGTGAGGTCAAAGAACAAGAAATTGAGTTCACGCGCAGTGAGTATCACACGAAGATGGTCAAGGTAGTAGTCAAAGAGGTCTGATTCAAAACGGGGGCTATCTACGGCTAATATACTACGGAGTCATTACCAAATGAGTCAACTCGGGTGCGGGACAAACACGATCACATGCGCGTGCAGCTCCGAAGTTGAACCGAGATCGCGTCGACTGAGTCAGAATTTTCTGATGAGAAGGGAATCAAGTATTTACCCGGAATGTACCCATATCCATAACAATTTTATTGAATCTTCGGGTTACGTAAGGAATTGGATTGAATGAGACAGCTACAGATAAAGCCAATTCGATAAATCCAATTCTCAATAATACCGACAGAAAGCGGAACAATACAAAAGACACAGCTGGGTAGCTACTTATGGGCCAGTCCCGAATCGAACGGGGGTTCTGCATACTCCGTAGACAATTGCACTATCTTTAGCAGACGCGCTCCAAGCGCAACCGACTCCTGCTGGTGGATGTTGAATCTTCGGTCTATGGAATTGGAATTGAACGAGCCAAATGCAGTCTCAAGCCTTTCCCATTCTCAACGCAGCCTTCTCCCGAGTCCTCCCCTCAACCCACTCAAATGCAACAAGGCTGATCCCACATCGGGCACCTCCTTTACGCGCGCGGGCTGGTTACGGTATTCACGTATTTTGTAGATTTCTTTGATTGCCATACGGTGTGTTGAAGCGGAAGCGTACTCTACTATTTACTCTTGGCTTGCACTGTGACTGTTTTCAACGTTGTGCATCTAAGGAAGGTGCGTCCACTTGACATCCTTCTCACGACTTCCAAAAAGATGGGATATCCGTGATGTATTCTGTCATCTCGAGTCGAACGCGGATGAGGGAGGTGTTGCTCTCGACAGATCGAAGTGTCGAGACGTGCAGCAGTGTGCACTTAGGCTTTAACCAGAGTCCAGATGGAAGCGGAAAGCCGAAAGGCGAAAGGCGGCTGTATCGATGATTCAACCTAAGTGTCCTCTGTGCTACTGAATCATTCAGGAATTATGTACTACTGAATGTGCGACTCCAATCTTCCCGAGGTCGTGTTTTTGGCCTCGGCCTCTCGGTTTGCGCAAGCCCTCTCCTGGCGGTTTCACGTAGACTTCCAGGTTCTTTGACTTACATACTTACGGTGTGTTGAAGCGGATGGACAACTCATCGTAGTGTCCTACTAGTCTCCGTGATGTACCAGGCTTGGGATTTTTGATACTGAGTCGCAACTGCGCACTTGGACGCTGTGAACCTGAGTTCAGAAAACAAGTTCATAGGAGCCACATGAGTCTCTCCCGAATCGCAAAGGGTTCCAGACTTAAACCAGTGATTGGTAGGAACACGCAATACTGGGGCCAGCACGCGCTATGATACGTTCGGCCTCAGTGCCAGCCCCACACGTTCAAATTTCAACAACACCAACGGAAATCGGAATCAATACTAAAAGCGTCAAGCACTCCTAATCGTTGATAGGCCGGTCCCGAATCGAACGGGGGTTCGTTCTACTTACGTGGCATTATCTCCAGCTATCTTGAGTAGACGCGCTCCAAGCGCAACCGGCGCTTGCTGGTGGATGTTGGATCTTCGGTCAATCCATCTCGAGACAACCAGGGGTCCCGAATTCAAATATCCATTGCCAATCCTCACACTTCCACACGGGAATCGGAGTAATAAAAGGTGTTCGTTCAATTATAATATGAACCACTCCCGAATTGAACGGGGGGGGTTCTGCCTCTACAGATATTCGCAGTATCTTTAGCAGACGCGCTCCAAGCGCAACCGGCTCATGCTGGTGGATGTTGAATCTTCAGTCTATCGAATTGAATGGGCAAGCTACACATGGATCCATCCCCAGCCTACCAGGATTCATTCATTCCCAATCCTCAGGGGCCATATGTTCAATGTTCAGCAAGACCAACAGAAATCGGAATAAATGCAAAAAGCCACGCCAAGCAAAAAGCAATTATACTCGCATTATGAGCCGGTCCCGAGTCGAACGGGGGGTTCTGCTTACCGTACAAAGATCTGATCTTTAGCAGACGCGCTCCAAGCGCAACCGACTCCTACTACTGGATGTTGAAATCTGCAGTTTATGGAATCGAATGTGCGGGCAGCAGCGAGATAAATCCAGCTCAAGTCAATCAACAATACCGACGCAAAGCGGAACAATATAAAAAAGCCGCACGTTCACAGTTATGGCCGGTCCCGAATCGAACGGGTGTTCTACCTACTCTGTAGAAAATCGCGCTATCTTTAGCAGACACGCTCCAAGCGCAACCGACTCCTGCTGGTGGATGTTGAATTCTCGATCGGTTCATGCATTTGATTGAATCAACATTCATTCCCAATCCGCAAGACAGACAGACCCCCACACACGGAATCCTCCTCTCCTCAGTTTAAACCAACTCCAACAAACAGCCCGTCGTACTCGCCGACTCAAAACCAGGTGAATTTCGCGGATGTCTCTGTAATGTGGGAAGAAGAGTAGATACTCTTACATATGAGCTTGTCCATCGCCGAACCAGGGCTGCAGGCGGCGGACTTCACCAGGAGGCAGCTGTAGCTCAGTGGTATGAGCGTGCGATTGCAATATGTGCTCATGCATAGTCTATCGCGAGGTCCTGGGTTCGACCCCCAGCAGCTGCTTTTTGTTTCTTCTTTTGCGTACTTGTACATTCATCCCCTAATCTGTCCTGTCCTGCAATTGTGATTATACGCATCTCTCTTCTTACTCAGAACGATACGAAAAGCATGCGCAATTGGTATGAATTGCTAAGCAACCAGCACACGCCAACTTTCGTCCGCGCTTCAATCGTCCGCACTTCAGAATAAATATTCGTCATTCGCGAGCTTGCTTTCAGTCTAGTATGTACATTATATATATTCATTCATTCAACCGCCGATTCACCTCACTCACTCCTCAGCACGATACTTGACCAAAAACAACCCCCTCTCAATCGAATTGATCACGATGAACCCGCTCTCAAAGTATGGATACACGCTCCACGAGCCGGTGAATGTGGCTTCGCCGCCGACGGCGTCGTCTTCGGGATGCACTAGAGTCATCGTCAGTTTCGAAGAGAGGCGAGGGAGAGAGGGGAGAGGGGAGAGAGAGAGGGGAAACCCACCGTCAAAGAACGCCACCTCCGTGAACGCCCCGCCCGTCGGATCCTTGGCGACGCTGCTCACGTCCACAACACGCAGCCCCGAGCCGTAGTTGGATTCGTACGCCCAGCCGTTCTAGATTGGATCAGCCAGATGATACAAGAGAGGGAAGGAGAGGGAAGGAAAACGCACATGAACATAGAGATTATGGTCAATCGACCGCACAGGCGAGCGATAATGGCCCGTCAAAACGGGTTGCTCCAGGTTGTGGATGTCCCAGATGTAAGTCACGGTATGCGAGTCGTTCGCCCATCCCCTTTGATACACCTCATCCAGCTCGTCGTCAAGGAGGAGATAAGTCTGATTGCGCTCGTCGATGACCCATCCTTGGTGCGAGTAGGAGACGCCGTAGTAGGGCGTGGTGGAGATGACGACGGGCTCGGAGGGCGTGGTGATGTCGTAGATGGTAAACGAGTCTTCGTTGTAGGCGTAGCAGACGTCGCGGCCGACGTACTCCGAATGGGGACCTTGGTAGACGAGGCATTGGGCGCTGCGGTGGTGTTAGGCATTCGAGAAAAGGAGTGGAGAATGAGACGCGCTCGTGAACGTAGCCGTCGGCAGCGGCACAACCCGCGCTCGTCGGGTTCGTTGGGTCTGTCACGTCCACGAAGATGAGGCCGGCGGCGCACGAGCTAAGTATATGAGCCAACGGATAAGGAGGAGGGTAAAATTAACGCACCCGTTTCTCGGGATAGAACCCACGGCCACGATAAGGTCCTTCCCTTCGTGAGCGACGATATTGTGGGAGGCGCCGAGCGGAAGCGAGTCGTAGTGCGCGGCCAAGTCGGACTTGATGCTGAACACTTTGGGCTCGGTGTGGAGCGAGGTGTCCAGAAGCTTGAGTATTCGGGTAAGCCACAGCCCGACAAAAGACCACCAGCAAACGCACCTTGGTGAGGTCAAAGACCTGGATACCATGTCCCAGCGCCTCCGAGCCAATGTACGCATAATGCCCAATGACCTTGATGTCTCTCCAAGTGCTAGCATCCGTCTGCGTCGCCAACTGCCCGAGGAACGCAATCTGCCCACTCGGCAGCACTTCCACGAAGGCTGTCCCATCAGTCTGCCCCACGAGCGCAAACTCCCGTCCCTCATACGTCCAGCCCCAGATATCATTCCCAAACTCGGTCGTAGACCCAAGCTGAGCATGGGGCGTGAACGAGTAAAGGTCGAGGTTGTTGCACGCAAAGGTATGGTCTTCCTCCGTCCCGGCGTACCCGGCAACGCAGGGCGTGAACTCTGAGATGGCGTGCAAGTTGGGGACACGGTCTTTAGCCATCTGGGCTATCGAGTCGGTGAGCATCATCATCATCATGTTGTGCACCTGCCCCGAGGCGTAGTCGTCGGGGTTCGCGAGGGGGACATGGAAGAACTGCTCGTCGCCGGGGTTGGCGACTGGGTCATTCGGGAGGGCGAGAGCGAGGGGGATGAGGACGAGGAGACCAACGAGTCGAGTCATGGTCGGGAGCAAGGAGGGCTAGATAGCTTATCGGCGGTACAGGCACGCCATGTGGCGCGAGGATTCCGCGTTCCGTTCTAAATGCGGCTAGCGCTGATGGCGGCCGAAAGGCGGTGTGATGCAACCTTTCGGCCGAAGTGACGTCTGAGAAAGAGGATTTTTTCACAATGGGCGCCATGGGTGGGCACAATCTGGCCGACCAGTTATGATGAGCTCGTTGACACCAGATCATATTTCGCACAAAAACCATTGATATTTCCTCCTCAAATGCTGAGCCGGGAATCGAACCGGGCCCATACTGCTACTGTTCAGTCGCAGTCCCGTCAAGAACTTCGTGGTCAGTATTCAGTACCCCTCGGGGAGCCTACATTCCAACGTGGTCAAAACGAGATCCGAGCACACGCTGAACGGAAGAAGGGATCAAAAGGACGTCACAAGTATCTGAAGCTCGGGCGGGGAATTGAACCCAGCCCGTGCTTCTAGACAAGATGTATTGCCAACTTGGGCTGGGTACAACATGTAAATTCGCACAATAAATATGCCACACATCGACCAACTTTCCTGTCGTCAATCAACCAAGCACGGAAAGAAGGCACACGCACCAAGCAGCATCATGTTTATCCACCGTCTCCATGTGCGCCCCTGCATCCATTTCCCTAGAAAAATAGACCCGGCATTCCAGTCCAAGACTAGGAAGGGAATCGAACCCCCAGCAGAGTAGTTGAATACCTAGGCGCTTTTTACCTGCCTGTTTGCGTGCAACACAGCTTGTTCCAAGCATCGTACACGTGCTCACCTCCTCCTGCGGCGCCGTAATTTCAACCAGTAGGAGTGACAGGTGCGTGGGGATCCAATCGTCCAAGATTTTGGCTCGAGAGAACTGAATCAAATGCCCAGCACCGTGTTTCAGCGAAAAGAATAGGAATATCCAAGGCAATATCCGCTAGAGAGAACACGCTGACCCGAATGGAAGAGATGAAGGGAGAAAAAGCGATCGTAAAGCGCACTGGGCCATGCTCAGGCGGGGAATCGAACCCAACATATTGTGGGGCTCCAAGAAGATGCAACCGTAATCGTTAGATTCCGTATATACGTATACACCAAGTATCTCGTGAACTCGGGGTGGGTACAACATCCAAATTCACCCAATAAATATGCTGCCCGTCCACCAACTTTCTATTCTCCGATTGTCCATGAACCAAAGCACCGAAAAGAAGGCACGCGACCCAAGTACCATCATATCGATCCTTCGTCTCCATACCCGCTCCTGCATCCATTTCCCTGGAAAAAAGGAAACTGAAGACCAGAATGAAACTAGGATGGGATTCGAACCCAGCATTGAGTGAGAACCTTGATAGCACTTAGCAGCTTGTTCCGAGTCTGGTACAATTCCTCACCTCCTCCTGCGGCACTCTATTGAATTTCAGCCAGTATGGGTGAGAGGTGCGTGGAAATCGAATCTTGACTCGAGACCGTGCTTCAGCAAAAGAAAAGGAATACATACAGTATACAAGGCTCAAAACAAAAAAGTTGATTCTACATGAAGTTCGACATAAGGCTGAGCCGGGAATCGAACCCACCACAGAGGCCATGTACATGTAGTAGTCCCGGCAAAAAATCAATCATAGCAGTTTATTCGGCCTACGCATCGGGGAATCCAACGTGTGGTCAAAACGAGCCTCGCGCACGCGCTGAATTGAACGGAAGAAGGGGTAAAAAGGACACATTTATAGCGCAGGAGGCTCGGGCAGGGAATCGAACCCTACCGCGTGCTTGTTGTACGCGACAGAGCTACACGCCAAAGTATTGCGCATTGCCAACTTAGATTGGGTACAACATGCACATTCGCATGATCAATAGCACGCATCCCTGGATCCCGAGGTCGTCTCAAGCACCGAAAAAAAATGGGCATGCGCCACCAAATGAAGGCTAGGAAGGGAGTCGAACCGAGCAATGCCTGGATAAGTTGGCAAGACACCCAGCATTGCACCGGGCTGTTTATGTAGCACACACTGGTATGTCTCAAGTACTTGTCTCATCTCTACGTGCGCTGTATTGAATAAATTTCCGCGAGCAGACTCGAGTGACAGGTGAGTGGAGATCTCTATGATTTTCAGCCAGGATGGTCAAATGCAATCTCGACTCGAGATAATATTTGCACGCTGAATTGAACGGAAGAGATGCAGGGAGAAAAAGTGTTCGAAAAGCGGGCTAGGCTCAGGCGGGGAATCGAACCCAACATGTTGTACGACCCCGAGAAGAAGAACCCGTAACCCAAACTCAGCTCATCGCACCATCACTGATCAATCACCGACAGATGAACTCGGCGGCTGGCGGCGGGCGCCTGAAGGCTGGAAGTTTGGAATTTACGTAGAATCCTTGTTGCCAACAGTAAACCACGAATTTATTCAAACACAAAGATACATCGAAGAAAGACTCAGACGACCAAGAATGCGCAATTATTACCTACGCATCACAAAGAGTCTCCCAACAACGCGACAAGAGGAACGAATATTGATTGGATGACGGCTTCTGCTCCTTCGTCAGTGGTGTCAAAGGTTCACAGGAAAGAGTACACACCGAGCAATAAAAGAGCTCAAGCAACAACGCACTGGCCGCTGGTGCCGCCTCCGCCGTCAGCGTTGGTGGGGGGAAGGGTGACGTCCTCCTTGGAGACGACACATTGGCCGCTGGTGCCTCCGCCACCGTCCGCGTTGGTGGGGGGAAGGGTCTCGTCGGCTTTGGTGGGGATGGTGGTGAAGGTGTCCATGAGTGCGAGTGGGGGTGGAGTAAATCGAGTGAGATGGACTGGAGTCTCTGGGCGTCGCAACTCGAGTTTTTATACCTTTGCTCTCTTTTGTTTCGCCGAAGAAGGAAGACGATCTGAACCATAGAAAACGAGTGAGGGGCTAGAGAAAACACAAAAAGGTTTTGTTCGAGAATTCAGTCGCGATATGAATGGGAATTCAACCAGCTTCGGGTCTCACTCCGAGCGAAGACAAGCCATTGTGTGCTACTCATT